ACTAGCGATGGCCTCCAACCATCTAGCGATGGCCTCCAACCTACTAGTGATGGCCTCCAACCTACTAGCGATGGCCTCCAACCTATTAGCAACGGCCTCCACCCTAATAGCGATGGCCCATGGCCTTAAACCTAATAGCGATGACTGACCTGGTTACCTAATAACAATGGCCTCAAACATCCTCAAACCTAGTGATGGCCTCCACCCTAATAGCGATGGCCTTAACCCTAATAGCGATGACCTCCAACCTAATAGCGATGGCATCCAACTTACTAGCGATGGCCTCCACCCAAATTTAGCGATGGCCTTAAACCCCAATAGCGATGACCTCCAACCTAATAGCGATGGCCTCCTAGCGATGGTCTCCAACCTACTACCGTTAGCCTCCACCCTAATAGCGATGGCCTTAAACCTAATAGCGATGACCTGCGACCTACTAGCGATGGCCTCCAACCTGACAGCGGTTGCCTCCAACCTAATAGCGATGGGCGATGGTCTCCACTCCACCCTCATAGCGATGGCCTCGACCTACTAGCGATAGCCTCCAACCTAAAAGCGATAGTGACGGCCTCTACCGTAATAGCAATGGCCTCCACCCTAGTAGCGATGGCCTCCAACCTACTAGCGATGGCCTCCGACCTAATAGCGATGAACAAACAGACCACTACATTCATTGGAATTCTATAGTATTCCTTTGTCAGTCGTTTCTGCCTTTCCTTCCTTAATAGCGCATCAAACAATGCAAGAACCATGCACAATTTGCAGGATACAGTTTCGAACTCGATCGGTCCGACTCCCTTTTTACGCCATTGTGCCATCCATGAGCAGGCAGAAGTGCAAAACAGAGAGGTGGAGCGTGCTGCGCAAGTGGGCACTCTGCGAAAAGCTCTCACACCAAGTCTGACTCTGTCACACTATATGTATTACTTCATTCATCCCGAAGACCTGTCTCGTAGACAATTGAGTTCGATGAAAATAGGCCAAAAACACAGTTCTCTGAGACTAGGTTTGAACAGTGATGCCATGGCCTGTTGATTTCAAGGTCTTGTGTTTGCGTGTCGTTTTGCATGTTCCAATTTTTGTTCTTGCTTTTTAGTATCTCCCCGTCACAAAAATTGATGTGAAGTCCATATCAAATGATGAACCCGTTCGCGTGGACCACAATTCGCGGTTTCACAGCTCCAGCAACTCAATGGGTGTAGTGAATTTGCGCCGGGTTCCGAGGAGTGCATCTGTCACGCCAAAGTAATTCGACAAACGCACTGACTTCCAGAGGCTGTTTCTTCTACTTGCATCCAGATTGACAACTAAATGTTGAGACATCTGGTCAACACATTGACAGGTACCAAAAATGCATAAGAACAATAACAAATAGGATGCCACGTGGAAGTCTATCAGCCGGCAACGCTTTGTGAAAACGCCACGTGAGCTTAGCCAACCCGTTTTCACGGCAGTCGCATCATCGTCTTCGTGACTCGAAATTGACATTTGAGAGCTTTGCCTGGATTGAGAGCCCAGCCTCAAGCGGATTGTTGCCACACCGGAGCGGGCCTAGTGGGTGAAACTCAAACTTGTCGAAGCAGCTCCAGCATGCGAAAGAGCCAACACAAAAATTCCACGTTTTTCTGCTGAAAGATTAAACGTGAGCTGTGTGTGTGCACTGTTTTTGCCCACCTGCCAGGTGCGATCTCTAGATGTTTATGAAAGGTGCTCCTCTATGCTCCTCATCTATGCTCCTTTCCTCTCCTCCTCGCATCTCCTCCCTTTGTCACGGGAGTCACGGGTGAGCTCCACGTCTGGGCACACACGGACCCAAACACTATAGGCTCGCGCCTCGCGCCTCGCGCTACATCAGGGGCGGATCTTTTGTTTTGGTTTTTCGAAGAAAGGCAGTGAGACCGGACAGTGAGGGGAAGTGAGCCTAGTAAGAAGTGGTTAGTAGAAGAGTGGTAAGCTAGGTCACTTAAAAAAGAAAAGGATATGTTTTATTGTCTTTTATTACATGCATGCCTTCTTTTCTTTTGACCTTTAGACCTTGGACCGTTCCTAAGGGGTCATATTTGTTCTACCCAAAAGTCCATTATTTTGGAATCAGCGCATTCCTGGCTGCTCCGATGCACTGGATCGGCCCTTGCATAAGACCTCGTAATACCGTCGTTGTGACGCGGAACACACGGAGAATTCAAGGAATTGTGAAAATTTGTGGAATTTTTCGTGAATCACAATTCACAATTGGATTAGGTTGCTATTAGGTTGGAGGCCATCGGAGGTCATCGCTATTAGGTTCCCAATGCAAGGAGCGCAAGGTTGCCGAGCGCCCGGAGCGGCTCGGCTGATCTTGGAGTCTTCGACTGACGCTCACTTAATCTCAGGCAGGCTTAGGACCTCGGAGTAAGGCCGGTGTGAGACAAGCGTTGGCACGCTCCACAGTCGGAAATGCTTTAGACAAACTGTTTGGTTCTTCCAACAAGTTGTACGCAAACTTCAGATCTTAAAGCTCCAAAGAGCCTGCTCTTTCAAGAACAGCGGAACATACCATCATGCGCTATGAAACACATCCATCTATCCCAATCTGTTTGGTGGCTTAAGGCTTAAGGTTCTCTTGTTTCTTTTTTTGAATCCAACCAAAAACTTCAGATTGGAATCGTCCTGCTGCCCTACAAGTTGACTGAAAGTGCGCAAAGACAGGCGAGCTTTTTAAGTTCTAGCCTTGTTCCCCTTCAGTGCCACCAGTGCATTGCAGTTGTAAAGGGTACCTCATCCTGTCTACCTAGCCTTCCCTTCTCTGAACAAATGAAAATGAGATCAACAGAACCACAGGATCCGGTTGTAACAGGGAGAATTCAGCGTTCTGCGCGCCCTGCAAGGGCCAGCGCACCCGCGGAAGGGCCATCACCCTAACCACTTGCTTTGGAGATTGAGCAAAGTCGAAAAACTGAGGTCAAAACGTGAGTTTGGATGATTTTCATGGCTTGAGCAAACCTTTGAAGGAAGGCGCAAATGAAAGATGCTCCATACAAGACATGTTGCAGCTACAGCAGTTGAAACACCTTTCCTTATGCCATGTCTCGCATCAGCGCAGAACGACAAAGAAATGTGTTTTTTTGTTTAACGGCATATTATGATTATGTACAACTTAATATAGATAA